CTCGTGAGAGACGCGAAGGCCGCCGCTACCGCTGAAGCTGCGAAAGCGGGTCTGCTACAGTCCTATGCCGAAATCGCACAACGAGCGAATCCAGAGAAGCTGTTCCCGGTGTTCGAGAAGCACGTATTGTCGTGGACTATCAGGCAATTGAACGAATGCAAAGAATCGTCCACGAAAGAGGCGGGATTGTCGGTTCTGGAACAGGTAATTTAACACAATTAATCTAATTAATAAATGAATAAATAATTCAATTTAATTACGCTTAGAAAAACAAAATATCTTTTTTCATCAATTAAAAATTCATTAAAAGTGAACAAAATAATTAAGCTTAATTGCACTTATTCTAAGAGAAATAAAACATCCTTCTTATATTTGCCAATTAAAATGTTGTTGGATGGAAAATGAAGCTCCTGCCGAAATTTCTTCATTGATTGACGCTGATTTGTAGGCGGCCAAGGCTTTTCATCCCACCAGATTGCCGGAATCCAAGGGTCTGCGCATAAAGGCTACCGCTCTGTCCACTCTACTGGGAATTATGCAATCGTCGACCGGATATAGACCGTTGCAACTCTACCCGGCGGTGTTGAAAGCAGCGAACTCTCTGATGTATGTTTCAATCGTGTCTTGATTTCGTCAACATCTGAATCTAAATCTACATTTCTAACATTTTCGTAGATGTATACCGCCAACGCTGAATCGTGAGGAAAGAGAGATTTTCCTCGGCGCAGTGCTGGATAAGACGATCAGTGCCAGCTCGGAGGTATTAAGATTGCGTGAAGGTATTCGATGTGAGTGATTAATCGATATCTTCTGCTTTCAGATCGTTTTGCAGTTGCACCCAGAAATACTGCAAGAAGTCGTGGACGGATTGGGAACGCTGTGCAGCGAAATTGTGTCCGATTCGGCGGATGCGCTGGCTGAACTGATCGACATATTGGTGCCTTGGATGCAATCGAAGTCGAATGTAGAGAGAAAAACCACTCTGTTGGTGTTGCACACAACTCTCCAGTAATTATCGCAACACGCAATCGTGCCTTTTGTTTTTATTTCTACATGTAATATATTAGACAATCGTAAATGTGTTTCTGTAGATCCTACTATAAATCTTTGAAGTATACATATCCAGGCGGCAAGTTTGATGCCGGGAAATTAGTAGGAAGGATTTTGTGCTGGTGTGCGGACAGCGACTTCACACTGAGGCCATTGGTGATCGATTGTGTGCTTCTCTCTCTGGAAATAGCGGCCCGCCATCGCGCTGTGATACCCGATAACGCCCTCGATGAAGACGTGATGCAGATAAAGAAGGAAGTCTTGCTCGAAGACTCGTCCTACGCAGCCATACAAGTTGGTTCCTAAGAAATTTGGCAATTACAGCTGATTTTATTGTAATAAATATTAAAAAAAAAAAATTTGTTACAAACAGAAACTGGCTAGTGCGGTGTCGCAAAAGATTCCGAACGGAGAGATAATCAGCTTAGCGGAAGGATTGATAGAAGGCTTGCTGTTCTACAGAGAAGCCAGCATGGTAGCGGGCTTGGCTCTGCAACAGCATTTCAAAATCAAAGGATCGGAAGTGTCCAGAACCGACGTTTGTTTAGTCGGTGTGTAAAACATAAATTATTCTGTTACTTCGAAATGTTTGTCCAATTTTCTGATATATGACACTGACGAAATATTTTTGTCTCCGTCTTTGCGCCACAGATAGTATTATTACGCAAACAAGACAAATGGAAAATTCCAGCTGCCTGCGCGTGGCAATAATGGCGATAATAGAGCTGATGAGACACCATCCGGAAGAAGTGATCGAGCATCTTCTGTCTCAGCCATTGCCGCTGGATCCCGGCACCATGTTGTGCTGGAAGGAAATCAGCAAGACGGACAGTCTTGGATATCGAGTAAGTATTTCAGTCGCGCAAATAGCGCAATTCACGCGCGTGCAATTCACCGCGCGTTGGGTGACACAAAATTGATCCATCCATTTGCTTCAGGCATTGGAATTGTTGCTGATAAAACTCGAAACCAACAATCTGTTCGCCGAGATCACGTCTTCGGATTTCGGAAGGAACAATATCGCGTACCTCCCGTCCTTGGCGGTCATCGTGGGCTTGAAACATCTTCTCGAGTCACCGAGTGTCGACAATTTGATGAGCAATCAATTGCCGGAACTGTTATCGGTTCTCCTCAAGTATCTCGCCGGCTGGCTGCACGTCGAGGCCCCCTCGTCGATGATACACACCAAGTATGGCTACGTGCCGAATCGAGCGATGCAGAAGATAAATCCGCACGCGGAAGTGTACTTCGTATTGGTTCACGTGCTAACGGTCATTCAGCCGAACGCTGCATCCAACTTGCCGGAGGAGAGCGTACGTATTGACGAGTGTATTTCTCAAGTTTTGCGGTTTTGCTTCACGCCAGTTTCTGCATTCAGGCATTTTCCTCGGAAACGCAAGCCGAGGAGAGCGTGATCTCGACCGTGCGAATATTGGTGAAGTGCATGTCGACGAAAAACGAGGTCCTGTCGAGCATCGCGCAGTCCTTGGGCAGACTAATGACCAGCACGATGCCTATACAACGGGCGGTCGCCGCCACGTTCTACGCCGAGCTGATCGGCAGGGTGGACTGCGGGGATATCTGGCTCGACGCTATAATTAATATTCTGCACGAAGCTAAAGCCGACTCGTCGCCCTTGATACGAAGACTCGCCACCATCGGACTTGCTAGGATAGCTTATTTGGATCCGAGACAGGTGAAATGTCCTTTGCGAAAGAATGTTCTTGTTGCATTCGTTTATGTCTTCTGCGCTTCGACATTTCTAGCTCTTGTAGCTTTTTTTTTGTTATTATTTTTACACACATTTTTTATTATCTTTTGACGAATTGTTGTGTTTCTTAGACCGAGGAATACTTCGACAATTGCATGGATGCCTTACTCGATGGTTTAGAAGAGCCTGCCAGCGGAAAAGGCGGCACTGAAGTAGCACTCGAATCACTACGTGGCCTTTCGGTACTGTTGTCGGTTCCATATAAAAGAGCCATCAGTCCGCGGGTGGTGTTAGCCTTAAAACCATTCTTTGAGAAGGAGAACTGGGAGATGAAGCTTGCTGCCATAGATGCTTTAGGCGCGATAGCCATTAATTGGCAACGATCGATCACAGTGCCGAGCGATGATCTAATCGATCATCTTCTGGGCTGTTTACCGTCTTTGATAATAAGACTAGAGGACTCGAACACGACGGTGGCTAAGGTACGCGTGTGTCACATTGCTACGTGTCCAGATGTTTAATATATAATAATAATTGTTATTATTTATGCTGTTCGCGCAACAGACTGCACAGGAAACTTTATGCAAGACCACGAGTGTTTTGCGGAGTGAGAAATTGTCGCATGTGATACTTAAAAATCTGGGACCAGAAGCGAAATTCAATTTCGAGGCTTTTTCGAAGGATTTGATCGACTGCTTGAAAGAGGTAGCGCCACAGAGAGTAGAGGAACTTAGGTAAAGTTTCGTGTATAAGACACTTCCACAAAATAAATGCGTGCTCCAACTTTGCTCTTTTTATTATTAGAAATGCTGTTGTCCGAGGCTACTCCAAATCGGAGAATTGTCACACCAGGGCCACAGCCGCGCTACTCTTAGGACTATTCGGTTCCTCGAAGCCCGAGGAGATACAAAGACTGTTGCAGCTTTTACATGATACGGAGAGTGTCGTAAGAAAACGCGCTTCGCAATCCCTCTCGTTTTGCTTTACGCTTTAACCAAAGCAACGTTTTTCGATAATTCATACTTTGACTAAATAAGGGAAAGTCGCATTTTATTTTAGAATTTAGAAAAATCTTTGCAACTAGTTTTATTCTTGTGATATTTTGTAAAATGCAATTATTGTAAAATGTGATGTAATTTATCATGATCGAATCCAATGAATTTACATATTGATACATTACATAATTATACTTGCAAAAATATTGTTTTACAATTATATAATTTATTGGAATCATGTAAAAATAAACACATCGCTCAAAAGTTTAATGCATCTTACAATTTCTAAATAAATCAATATGTTTTTTTACAAATATTATGTTGAAAATGTCGACATAGAAACTTGTTAACGTATTTACTCGGATAAAGTTTACAAATTTTCTTTTCGCAAAAGAATTTTCCTTCATTCAATTTAACTACCTGACCTAATCTTGGCATTCTCGCGATTGTTTTAATTTTAAACTCCAATTATCTCTTTATAAATAAATATCAATATTGTCAATAAAATAATTACATCTTTACAGAATGCTCTAGACTTTTGAGCGTTGTATGTGTAACTTGTAAATGAGTTAGAATATTGTTACTTTTAGTTGATCAAATTTCAAGCTAAATTTCTTTAAGTTAAGTTTCTTTTTTCTCTAATTAGCACCTATACACATTGTACACTATGTCCTTGTACGATAAAGACAGTTGGTCATTAACGATATTTAATTTATTTTCACTGATTATAATTTCCTAATCATGTGTTCTTTCTCTATCTCTTTGTTTACACGGATCTTTGATGGACAAAAATTTGTGAGCTATTAGCCGTGTGAAATCTTTTGTTTCTGAAAAATATGATGCTGAGAAGTGCTATATTTTATACTTGGTTTTTTGAGTTTTATCTTTCTTATCATAGCGAATATCGAAAAAAAGATGACTCTACATGATGTTCGATTTCTTAGCAGTTCCTTAAAATCTCGCTGGCAAATGAGATATTACTTATTGATTAATTAACTGTAAATAATATCGATCTATTATTATAAGTTATAGAAAATTTATAATATGGTAGGATAATATATTTTTTTGTGATTTCTTCAAGCAAGTTTTATCCCAATCTCATTTGCTGCGTAATTTGCCGTCCGTGCATTAAATGCAGACCGTTTCGCATAGCTCAATCGTTGTAAAGTATCATGAGCTACGAACGTCTATTGCGGTTGAAGCTTGCGAAACTTGTTGTGAGCAAACCTGCTAGTAATCTGTTAAAATATTTAAAAACATAGGAAGCAGAAGCTTAGGCTTTTGGAATAATATATTTATTACATTTGATGGATTCTGCAAGTTCTGTGTAATTTGACATGATTCTTGATGGAATTAAGCTGGAAATATCCAGCTTGCATACTTAATGAATAAAAGCACATTTTAAAATAGATGTAAAAAAATATTGGTTGCAGAGCACAATCTACATAGTTGTGAAAATAGCAATCGTTTCATTGCATTAAAAATATTGCGATCTGATGGAATGGAATTGATATACGTGATATATAATTGATAAGAATATCGCCTAAAAGAGAATATTACGTTTAGAATAATATACAATTATTATTAATATCGTATTGTGCAACTATTTATATTGTGTTACTTCCCTCTGTAACACATACATTCGTGCAATAATCGTACCTAAGATTATTTCTGAATCAATATAAAATACTTAATACATGTACATATCTATATATCTATATATATATATTATATTTACTGTATATATTTTTTATAAAAATTGTGTACGAAACAATATAATCATATATTCTCCCACATACCATATATATATATAAAGAATTTGTAACAATATACTATCTTCGAATCAGCTAATCATTATTTGCTATGTAATTTTTCTATACAAACACTTAGCTGTTGAAGACGATGAAGCAAATGCCGCATATTTGCGCTCGACTGTCGAAGACCTGACTGCTCACCGCCTACTTCCTGTCGTTGGCCGAGTTCAAAATGTAATCTTGCTAAACGCTCTTGCTGTTCGCGTATCTCTGTCATCTGCTCCATACTGCAGTCTTTTCCTACAGTTAACGGTCGTTGAAGATCTTATCGTTTGCGCACAACTAGATATACTAACCAAATGCTCGCAAATTGCCGCTGTGAAAGTCTTCCAATAATTGCAGCAAGGCCTGCTCCATGTGGCGAACATCGGGGACCTCTGACAGAAAGCAATGGTGTTTGCATGGCACCATAGCTTTATGTAACAACGCCGAAACAAAACGAAAAGATCTAACTTAACATAAAACTCAAAAAACTTAAACATTGTAAATATAAAAATATTCATAAGTTCAACAAAATCATACATTATACATAACTAATGTATAAGACACATAAATATAAATTAATTAAAAAAACAAAACAGACAAAACAGAAGAAAAGAAACTGATAAGACAAAACAGATATACATCGGCAAAATATATCTTCTAGAATTGGAGCACGAGTTACCTTTGTGCTGCCTCACAATTCTTGGTGGATCTGGTCGACTCGGCCTTTGTTTTTCCTTCTCATTGAGATACGTCAATCGAGACTGGTTGCCTGTGTAACTTGAAGTATTGGCTGCCCGGCCGGAAACCATGGAACCTTGACTTGTTCCTTGACCAGAGCTGCCTTTACTAATAATCGGTGATATTTGTGTGTTGCTTTCCCATAATACTTGTTGCTGCAAAGATATTACTTAACAAATTCATTATGTTATTGCTGTTTTGCTATTAATACAGAATGTAACTAGACAATTGTGTGCTATTAATATAAGACACTCTACCGATACGTTAGAATTGTGTGCTTCAGTTTTACTCGGACGTTGAGATCTGGCTGGTGTCGACGGAGGCGTAGCTTCTCCACCATGGCTAAGCGGTTCTTCACTTTCTTCCTCTTGAACCAACTGTTGCAGTTCACCACATCCAGCTGCTTCCACCATAATGACAACATATAATATTCCTAATTGAACAAAATATTCTGAATAAGTATTTATTCAACTTTGTCGAAAAGACCCGATATAAATATAACAATTGTCGGAAAGACCTAATATAAATATAACAATTATTTAATTATTGTGTTTACACTTTTATTCTACATACTTTATGAATAATACAATCAAACAACAAGTAAAATAATTTACCTAATTAGCGAATTAATAATAAATCACTTCATTATTTTGTGACATTCCTCGCATTGCTTATCAGTCAGTTAGTGTATATTTTACAGTTGTAGAATTGTCAACTCCAAGTCATGATGTATGAATATCTAGATGGGATACGTTCAAACCATATTCAAACCAACAGTAGATCACATTGGTTAGATACGAACTGAATCAATCAGCTGATAGTGTTGTGCGCGTTATAGAAAACAGTGCTTCTTTAGTTTCTTACTGATTTTTCGAGTATTGGTGATTTTACTTTAAATATGCAGAACCCGACTTGTGAAATAATTCTTTAACATTTGATATATCGAATATACATAAATAAATGTAAGATGGCTGCTAAAGAAGAGGTTAACTACACAACAACCACTGAAACGAAGACTGAAGAAACGCCGGATAATTCAACGACTGAGGAAGCACCAACCAGTTTGGAAACTATTCCTGAGGGAAACACCGTGAAAAATGAGCTTCAAACAGCACCAAAGGACAAGACAAAAAGTATTCAGTTTTACAAATACGTGTGATAAGATATTCCTTTAAGCAGCATGTGATATGCTTAAATTTTGCAGTTGATATATTACTGAAGGCTACTGCTAATGCTCCAATCATGAAGCAAAAGAAATGGTCAGTCTCCCAAGATAATCCCATTGGAAAGATCTCAGAATTCATCAAGAAGTACCTCAAACTGGATCCCAATGAGAGACTGGTACGTCGAGTTCTTTTCTCCTCTAAGAGTGCGTTAAAGCCACGATAATAATGACAATGCATTTGTCTTCCAGTTTCTTTACGTCAATCAGACGTTTGCACCCGCTCCTGATCAGACAGTGAAGAATTTGTATGACTGCTATGGCGCGGATGGAAAATTAGTCATACATTATTGTAAGAGCCAAGCATGGGGCTGAAATTGTCAGAGTTGAACTTGTCAAAGTTAATTTTTTTGCAGGATATGTAAACACAACACAATGTGATATAATTTTAAGTTATAGCAATGTAATTATGCAGAACCTAGTTTTTATCTTGTCAGATATATTTTCAGGAAGAATCCTTGTTGAGATTCGATGTTCCGTTCATGTTAGAAAGGTACAAGTGTCATAATTTTATTTTGCATATTCTTACAATAATAATATCAAAATGTTTGATAAATTAATCAGTCTGTTGCTTTGCACCGCCACGTGAATTATGTATTCGATGTGATGGACCTTCTGCTATACAGATCTGAAGCCTCTTTCGATTTATCCATTTCTCGCGCTTTGCTAGATGAACTATCGCTCTTCGAATCGTTGCATCGACATGAGTTGAGCGCGACTGCATTCGACTTGGAGTTCGCCGATCTTACCGATCGACAAACAGACATTCTTTCCTCCTGCACTTCTTTCTTGGATCCTTTACTCCGATCGGAGGCAGCTGACAGCCGCTTTTGATCACCTGAAAAATATAATTATTAAATATGTAAATTATTGTCAAATATTTTAGAATATAATACTCTTACTCGTACACGAAGAGGCAGATTTCTTGATAGATCGCGTAGTCTCATCCGCTGCAGCGTCTCCGTCGCCTTCTGCCTTCCGCAATGATAGCTTGTCCGAATCGCCGTTGCGCGAGCGACGCGTGGAGCTGGCTGTTCTTCCTGTCTGAACCGTGGATTTAGAATCCTCCGAGCTCTCGGACGAATATTTCCAAATGATGATCTCTCCGTCGGCGCTGGCCGTCACTACGTGCTTGCCATCCGGACTGAATTTGCACGCGCTGATTATCGCGGCATGGGAGACACCGACGTGCGTGCTGTCCGCGCTGTCGTACTCCCAGATCTTAACGGTGCTGTCGCTGGATCCCGTGACGAAGCAGCGGCCGTCGGAACTGATGTCTATGCAGTTCAACGTGCCGACGCTGGAACCCTCGACTTCCCGCACCAGCGAGCAGTCCAGGGTCTCCCAGTACGCAATCTTCCGATCCGTGCCGCATGTCAGGATCTGAATTCCGTCGGGGGTGAACTGCGCCATCATGAACATTGTGTTTCCCATGAGCACATGTTTCCTTACGCAGCGTCTGTTGCGAAAAGATCATTCTTTAAATCCCTGTTTAATTCCATTTGATTATTAAGCTTGTATTTCACAATTTTGTATTAAATAAATATAAAAAATTGTCTATTTTTCCTTTAAATAAAATTACTAACTTGAGATTTTAAAGAAAATAAAAATTGAAAACATTTTTACTGAAATAAGAAAAAAAATCTGAAGCCCATAATATATTCACCTCTCATAAGCTGGCAGGACCAAATCAGCAGAATCGAATGCGACTTATCGAAAAATTTAGTACTCATTTTGTACTATTTTGTACCACAAAAAATAATTTTGTACCCCGTGCCATTTAAGAAAAAATCGTGGCGCTGCCAACTTCATATTAAGCTAGCAAAACCAAAAAAAAAAATATATATATATAAATAAAAAATACAACGTATACAGTTAGCGCTGAATTTGTACTAATTTGTACCACCCAAAAAAGTCAAAATATTTCCATTAACCCCTTAAAACAACCCTTATTTCGTCTATCCTAGAAAATAGGACATTTCTCTTCCGATCTTTTAAGAATTTAACCAGCATAATTGAACTAAATTTATCTTATTACTTACCACTTGTCATGTACTATTTTGTACCACCAGAAAGAATTTTGTACCCCGTGTTATTTGAAAAAAATCGTGGTCCTGCCAACATGATGTGGAACTAACCGAATAAAAATTATTAAAAAATAACAAATAACGATAGATTCTATTAGTACTGAATTTGTACTAATTTGTACCACCCAAAAAAAGAAAATATTTCCATTAACCCCTTAAAACAACCCTTATTTCGTCTATTCTAGAAAATAGGACATTTCTTTTCTGATCTTTTAAGAATTTAACCAGCGCAATTGAACTAAATTTATCTTATTACTTACCACTTGTCATGTACTATT